CCTGCTTGCCTAAGCTTAGTGAACTTAAGGCTTAAACCAGTGCTCCACCAATCCCCTGAGGCATTTATCCCTGGGTACTTACAGCCCCTCTTCCAGGCCCTGACCCTGCACTCCCACACCCACCCTGAGGCTACAGAAGTGCCCTTGATCTTGGTTCTCTCTCTCTCTCCTGCTGTGTGTCTGTCTGCTCCTGCTGTGTGTCTGTCTGCCCCACAGCTACCTCACCTGCCAGCATAAAGACCTCTCATGGGGCTTACTTATTGTGTCTGGTGTTTTGGGTTTGTGGAAAAAAAGCTAATAATGATCACATATCAAACAGTTTTGTATAGTTCAACCTTTTACTAAAAAAAATTACTAAAAAAATTGCAAATGCAAAATGTTATATATCTGGGAAGTGCTGTTATTACAAATAGTCAAAAAAGTGGAGGCGAAGTAGAATGAAATTCTTATTTATTCTCAGGGAAGGAATAGGATAACAGTCACTTAAGAAGTGACAGCTTCCTCAGTCTGTAACTGAAAGAGAAGCCCTGTGAGTCTGCGCAGTTAGAGGCTGTAACCTTTATGTTTAGCTGTTTTTGTGTCTGGGAGAGTGTGCTGGGCTTAGTTTACACATCTAATGGAGATGCTGTTGCTGAGTCTTCTTCCTTCATACATTCTTTTTCTTTATGAAGTAGGAGCTATCTTCAGCTTGAAGAAGAGGGATGGGTTGGAGAGTTCAATAGGAATAGAAAGCACTTTATAAAGGCTTTTATCAGTAACTGGAAAGAATCTGATTATCGAAGCACGGAAGCACTTTCAGGGCCTGCTTTTCTTGTTAAACTATTTTCCTCCCCCAGCTCTCAGTTCATCCACTGTACACAAGGAAAATTAGACTTGGCTAGAAAATTTTAGGCTTATCTGTTGCCGTAAGGGAGGCATTGCCTAGGAATTGGATGACATAGGAATGGCTCAGGTTAAGACAAGCATTGAGAAGAAATTTGTTTTATTGTGATAGAGAAAATATCAAACATCCTTTTAAAAAATAATCACTATTGATACTTGAATAATACATGGAACATATGTCCTGAGCATTTGGTAAACACATTTGCTACTTTCTGGTTTTTTTCCTAAAACTTGGATTAGATTGATCTGAGATGAGTCCATGCCTGGTTCTTTGAAGTTTTCTTAAATGTGTGTTTGGCTTTTAACTCGCTGTGCAAAAATGGTGTAAGTCACCCAATAACACCAGTACTTCCAAGGAATTATATGGATTCAGAATGACCCTGTGTGAGGTTTTTGAAATTATTTTTCAATCTCTGGGGCTACAAAATTTAGAAGAATATACTATCAAAGTACTAACACAGAGGCATTTTTGCTGTGCCAGAAAGAAAAAGTGTCACAGAGAACATAGCTATTTGTTTTACACTTGAACTCTCTCGTGAAACATGTTAAGCTACTTATAAGGGGGCCAATGGGTCAGATTAGTACTTCAAATTGTATTTGTTTTGTCAAACTAGCATTTAAAACTTTTTCAATTTGTAAAGGTTCTCAGTGGGCACAAACAAGGAGAATTGCGTTCATTCATTTTAGAACATCTTTCCATGACCACATTTATGAGACAGAAAGCTGTGTTTCAGCAATTGAAGTCTTTCTACCACTAGTGTTCGTGATGTTAAACTAATCCCTACCAGGCAACTCAGGCTTTTCACATGACAATTTCGTTGTTTTTGTTGTTTAAGATTTCTTTATTTTTTGTGAAAAGGATTTACAGAGAGGAGAGGCAGCAAGGTCATTCATCTCTTGATCTCTAGATGGCCACAATTGCTGAAGCTGAGCCAATATGCCAGGAGCCAAGAGCCTCTTCCGGGTCTCCCACATGGATGCAGGGTCTCAAGACTTCGGACATCCTCTATTGCTTTCCCAGGCCACAATCGGGAAGCAGAATGGGGAGTGGAGTAGCCAGGGCATGAAATGGCACCCAAAATGGGATCCTGGCACTTGTAATGTGAGAAATAGCCAATTGAGTCATAATGTCGGCCCAAAATTTCTTAAATATAAAAGCAGAATTATTTTTTATTAATTTTGCAAAAAGAGAAATAAAAAAACTAAGATGTTACCACATTTTATTAAGGTGTTAGATATTCATTAGAGCAAAATACATACACACAACTGTGAAGTTAGAAGAAATTAAATAATTTTTCCTTATCCCTCCCAAAAAAGCGATTGTTACTCGGTTAGAAAAATATTGATTTAAATTCACCCAAGTTATAGAATACACACTGAAATTGCATCAATGAGCTAGTAGGACTAATGTTTATTTTGCCTCTTGTCATGAACAGAATAGGGCACAACATATATTAAAGTTAGCATTATTCTTTGAGAATTATTTGAATATTCAGACTTGTTATTTAAAGCAAAGCTAGAGTTCCTTAAAATAAGTCTAATACTAGAATTCACTCTTCCCTGCCATTAAACCTGAGAAAGCCATACCAGATGACCTACAAGCACCTATACCACGTAGGAGACCAGAAGGCAGCTCGTGGCTCTTGCTTTGGCTAATTTCATTCCTGACTCTTGAGGTCATTTGGGGAATGAATGAATAGCTGGCAAAAAAATCTCACTTTTTCTGTACTTGAACATTTCAGGAAAAAAAAAAAAAGAAAAAAACCAATTCAACCAACTATTGCCAGTCTTATTGTATAATGTGGTCTAATTACAATTCATTTTGAAAGAGAACAGAGAGAATCTTCTGGAAAGTTGGGGAACAATTGAAAAGCGAGGCAAAGGTGTTCCTGTTTGAAAACAAAATCAACGTGATGATTGGCTGACATGTGAAAATATCACAGAGAACCAAACAACCAGGAGGTCACTGCAGAGGTTTAGATTTAGATGTGTACGTTTGGGATAACTTTAAAAATAAGCACAAGATATGTTTGGTATACCAGTTTAAGTGTAAGATAATTCTGTTAGAAATAAAAATTAGAGGTTTATCAGGATATAGAAATGTTTTTTCAAACGCAAGTTTGCATGTTGTCACTCAAGCAATAATTAAATTAAAGATTCAATGTTTAAGTCCTGAAGAAGTCTAAACAGTATAAGCTTACGAGATGGACAGTAAACAGTGAGTATAAAGTGAATGAAAACAGGTCAGTGTGGTGCCCTAGAAGCTAAGTGGAGAAATTATTTAAGGGAGGACAGAGTATCCCCTGCAGCAAAGGCTGCTCATAGGTTAAGTAAGATAAGGGTTGAAGAATGAAAATTGGTTGTAGAATCTAATAGTTTAAGCCTTTGGTCTGTAACATCAGTTTTTTGTGGTGATGTGAAAAGAACAGAACAGAAAAGCCAGTTTCACATGGGTTAATTAGTGAACCAGCAGACATGTGAGTGCCAGTTCATATCCCAGCTGTTCCACTTCCATTCCAGCTCCCTGCTTGTGGCCTGGGAAAGCCCTACAGGGTGGCCCGAAGCCTTGGGACCCTGCACTCACGTGGGAGAACTGGAAGAAACCCCTGATATCTGGCTTCAGCTCAGTGCAGCTCTGGCCATAGTGGTGGCCATTGGTGAATGAATCTGTGGATGGAAGATCTCTGTCTCTCCTTCTCTCTGTAGATCTGGCTTTACAATAAAAGAAACAAATCTTTAAAAAATGGACTTGATTTGACTCTCCAAGCAATTAATCAGAAACAATGTAGTAGTCTTGACATAATTATTGCTTGTTTTAATATTGAAAATGGAAATAAATAGTAGCTTTGATTCATATCATAATTTATTTAATTTTGGTAGGACTTTAAAAAAGACAACATGATATTGGAAAATTATAGTTACCACAGGCTTGCTTGGTATTTATTCCACTGAACTTACTATTACAGATAATTTTTAAAATGTAACCACACACTGCCAAGTTCAAGTATATTATTCATTTAACAGGCAAAACATCAAAATGTTGTACTCAAGTTCAAGCTCAGCAACTGATATTCTGCTACTTGTAGTCTACTAACACATGAAATCCAGTGATTCTCTGACCCATGCTTTCATTCAATAATTTAATAAAGTGATTTTCTTTAAGTTTTCCATCAGATTTAGAAGCAGCTAGCTCATGTCATAGTCCTTCAGTCTCCATTATAACAATCACTTAAATTTGTACTTTCAATAAGCATTTTATTACAAGTACCCATGGCTAATGATTTAATGTTCTGTTACTGTGTGTCAGAAATTACTAGTGCTTCCTCAAATGATATTAACCAGATGCTCGTTGCCTTCAACTCTGTTATACATGTGATCTCAATTCCCATTTCCAGTGTCCAGATTTTCCATAACCATTCCATTTTGCAGTGAATGCATCAGTCACTCTTTTTTATTTTACAGAAAAGAATCCTATCATTAAAACTTTTAGAAAAGTTGCTGATACCATACAGTGTTTTTAGGACCATGTTAGAAACTGGATGGAATATTAAGTAGTATTCTTAGAATCCATCACTGAATGCAACGTGAGATTACCCACTTTTGGCAAGAAGATGATATGGCATTCTTTGCAAGGTTTCTTTCCTCCTTTATTGTTATTTTAGTATTCATCTTTGCTATGAAGAAGATAGTGGATGCCATTTCACTGATATTCTACAACTCTTTGAATTTAATATCTATAATCAATTACATGAAAAATAAATTATAAGATCATCTATATATATTTTTTTTCACTGGAAAATCAGATATACAGAAAGGAGGAGAGACAGAGAGGAATATCTTCCATCTGCTGATTCATTCCACAAGCGGCCCCAATGGCCAGAGCTGCGCCTGTTCCAACCTAGGAGCCCGGAGCCTCTTGCAGGCCTCCCACATGGGTGCAGGGTCCCAAGGCTTTGGGCCATGCCCCACTGTGTTCCCAGATCACAAGCAAGAAGTTGGATAAGAAGCAGGGCCACTGGGATTAGAATCAGTGCCAAAATGGGATCTCAAGAGAACTTTAGCTACTAGGCTACAGTGGGTGCAGGTGCACATATATTTAAGAAAATTTATCTTAGTTTTTGCTTTGGCAGCACATATACTAAAGTTGGAGTGATAGAGGGAAAATTAGCACGGCCCCTCTGCAAGGATGAGATGCAAATTCGTGAAGCGTTCCATATTTTGTAAGATATATATATATATTGTAAACTAAATGCTTTTTTTTAACCTAAGCTCAGCTTTCCAATGAAGTTCCTAAAACTTATTTTTTATAGTTGTTAACTAGTATATCTGTTTCTTGAAACCTAAATCAAGACATAAATATATTTATTCCACGAAACACACTTATTTTTATTCTCTACAGTATAAGAATATACTTTGCAGTTGTGGATATGGCTGAAGAAAGTTGGAAATCTATGCTATACCCTGCAACAGTATAAATCATTATATTCTTCTTGCAATATTAAAGCAACAATTTAAAACTATTCAAGTAATTTATGCACAACTCTAATCTATGTTAAAATTCTTCAATGGGTCAGCAACTGAAAGGACTAACACCTAAAAAAATGAATTTATTTGAAAGATGAGTAAGAATGGAAGATAATGAAGATATATTGTGAAGAAAAAAGAGTGTCCCTATTTCACTAGGTTCTTACCTTATTTCATACTGCTTCTCTTAAAAATAATACATACATATGTTTATGCAATATGAAGCACATGAAGCGTTTACATGCAAAGTATAACTTTACATTTCATGAAACTATTAAATTATCTTTGTGGTGATGTCAATAATGAATATTTTAGAGCTATTTATTTAGATCTATAACTCAGGAGAACAGAATGTGAAAGTTTTGAGACTGGATCAGTGACAATTCTGGGTCTGTTGCCCTGACATTTCTCTTTCTCAAAACTTCCTCTGTATCAAGCAGGGCTGTCCCTATAAGCCAGTTTCCTGGAGCTTCTTCCAGCTGAGTGGGATTCTCACACAGTTCAATGAAGGACACCAAGAGTAACTGCCACTTTGGAACAGTTTTTAAAAATGTAAACTCTTTTGAATGTTATAAGTAGTTTCTTAGACACAAATCTCATGATTCTGTGAATCTCTTTTGGCATTTAGGAGAGTATTTCAGCCTCAGTAATTTTATTGCAGTAAGATGAGCTATTACTATTTTTATCATCGATTTTGTGGCCACCACTATGCCTATTGAGCAAGCTCTGCAAAGACTGTTGGAAGATAATTAAAGTTCGTAAAAAAAAAACTTCTTCCCTCTAGATTTGAAAATTAGTTTGGGAGTTTTGGTAAATATATACATATTTGCTGCCCATATTTTTAGGATCTGTGCCCAGTATTCCAGCAAAAGTGATTTCTACAACTTCCTTGACAGCATGAGTCTTGCATTTTTTAAATCTTTTAGTCAACCAAAACATTTTCCTTTTTCTAAGATTTGGTATACATTCTAACTGAAGAATATTCTTCCTTAAAGATACATGAATCTTCACACTTATGTCTATTGTGGATATTTAGTTTTTAGACAATAACTTGTTATTTAATTGATTAACTATTTTATTTCAGGAACACAATGAGAAAGATAGGGGATGATCAGGGGTTCCTAGCTGTTAGTTCACTGCCCAAATGCCAACAACTACAGGGACAGGGCTGTGCCAAAGCCAGAAGATGGGAACTCAAAGCATGACTCTTGAATGCATGGCAGAGATTTCAACGACTTGACCTACCAGCTATTGCCTCTCAGGATATGCATTGGAAGGGAGCTGAAAGAGAAAGAGAAATAGGACTTAAATAAATTCAACAACCAATTCGGGACTAGGACAATCCAACTGGTATTCCAAAACCTAAGTCCTTGAAAACTTATTTGTGACTCGTTATTCAGTAACTAATATAATGTTTTTAAGAATCATGGTGCTACAGCTATTCATTACTAGTAACATTGATGTAAACAAGAAAAACATCATGTTAAATCAGGAGCAATCTTTTCATCCTTCCCTTTTTTTTGAATTATTTTTTTATTTTAATAATCTTAGTTGATTTCATCCTTCCCTTTTATAAGGTGAATGTTTCCAACGTTTTCTCTAGTTGCTTTAAATCCATATCATAAAGTTGAAACTTTTGTTTCAGATCTGATATGTAATGTATATTACTCCAATATAGAAGAAAATTTGATTTTGTCATTCTATTATTGCATGCTAATTATTTTACTTTTTTCTTGAAGTCCCCAAATTTCTTAAAGTGCTAAATGTTTTTATAGCATTCGTGGTGAGATAACATATTTTACCCATTATGTTAAGGTAGCATTACTTTTGCTATTTTTTACGTTTCTGCACTTAACACTACTTCTATTATTTCTAAAGCATTATTTTCTCTTTTGCACACTTCCAATTTTACAGTTACTCTCTTTCAGTCCTTGAAAAATCTTGCATTTGTTTCTTGCTTTCACAATTTCTGCTTATGATTTTACTTCTCTTCCAATCTTTTCTCCAATATTTAAATATTAATTTTTACTCAAAACTTCCATGATCATTCAGCATTTACAATTTGACTACCATTTCTTGTTGTATTTCTCTGGGTATATAAGGTATGGAGTTTGTCTACAGTTTTGAATTCATGGATGTAAGCTGTTTGTCAAATTTGAACTTTTTTAAAAAAAGATTTATTTATTTTCATTGAAAAGTAGGATCTACAGAGAGGAGAGACAGAAAGATCCTACTGCCAGTTCACTCCACATGTGGCCACAATGGCCAGGGATGAGCTGATTCAAAGCCAGGATCCAGGAGCTTCTTCCAAGCCCCACATGTGGGTGCCGGGTCCCAGGGCTTTGGTCCTTCCTTCTCTGCTTTCCCAGGCTACAAGCAGGGAACTGGATGGGAAGTGGAGGAACTGGGATCTGAAATGGCACCCATACAGATACCAGGATATGCAAGGTGAGGATTTAGCTACTGGACTTTGTGCTGGGACTTGAAGTATTTTACTTACTGCATTGTTACCTGCTTTTACAACTTTTATCCTCTCTCTCATCCAAAGAAATCATGAAACAATGATTCTTTGAAAAATCACAAAAATATGATTATTAAAAATAATACACAGATGGAATACATTTATCTACTTCTCACTTTTTAGTTACCACCCAGGGACATCAGATATTTTGTTATATCCCCACCTGCTCTGAAATAATTTCTGCTGCTCAATCTGCAAGCTTGCTGTATTTTTCCTTCCTCTAGATTTCCTGTCTTGAAAATATCCTTCAAGTTATCCATTGCAGATACAATATTTTTCAATTTAAAAATTACATTTAGATTTCTTTATGTATTTCTTGTGAGACGTTTTTTATTTTGAGAGTATTTATAATTACTCATTAAAGCATTTTATAGGAGTGAATTCAAAATGATTATTAGATGATTTTTATATATTGTCATATTTATTTTTTCATGAACTGATTGTGTTTCAGTCTTCTAAAACATTTGTTATCTGTAGATGTTGTGTTTTATTACAATGTTATGATTTATACTTATATATATGCATACATATTGATTTGGAAGAAAATACAGAAAATTTCATAATAACACTTGCATATCTTCTACTGAGAAGCAACTCATTAACATGTTTTAGATTCCATTTTTGTCATTTTTTAAAAAATAAATGTGTTTAAAACTGTGCAACACAAAGTTTATCATTTAAAAGAATTGTAAGGATAGAACACTCTGAGATTAAGTATATTTGCATTGTGTGTTAACTTTTAAAAAGTTTACTTATCTTTACTTGAAAGGTAGAGTGACAGCAAGAGAAAGAAGCAAAGTAAGGTATATATATATATGTATATAATATATTACAGATAATATATAATATATATAAAATAAATATTAATATAATATATATATATAATATAAATATATATGAGAGAGAGAGAGAATCTTCTGTCTGCTGGTTCACTGCTGCAATGTCTACAACAGCCAGAGCTGGACCAGGTCAAAGCCAAACACCATGCATTCCAAATTGATCTGGTTTGTAGCTGGGTGGCAGGCACCTGGAACTGGTTGACGCCTGCAAGTGCCAAGGATGCACATTTGTAGAAAGGTGAGTCAGGTGCAGAGGCAAGAATCCCAGACACTCAGGGTCTGGAAACAACAAAGCCATGGACTCAACTCCCTGGGCCTCAAACCAGTCCCTTGTTGCCTCCAGTTGATTTGCATGCCTTGTTTTAAGCAGTTTCCTATGATATTTTTCCATCAGGGTATGGATGAAGCACTTTCTAAGCTTTGGGGTGTGAAAATATAAGCAAGGTTTCCCCAGCTGGCTTCTGTGTGCAGTTGCGATAGGGAACATCATTATTGCTGGGAGAGGTAAGAGATGCACACTCTGCACTGCTACTCCTGATGTCTTGTTAGCTACAAGGAGTAACAAGGTCACATTACCCTTCCAATGTGACCACAAACAACAATAATGGTTACCGTTGAATGGTGTTGAAAATGCCCACTTTTAAGTGCCCTGCTTTGACACCACACCGGTGCATATTGAAAGGTTTATTTTCCTGCTGGTTGGTAGAGATAGATGTCCAGCTTCCCTGGATGGCTTCCATGTCAACTTGGCACAATGAAAGAGGCCTTGTTATGGTGTGGAAGGAGTGACGTTTTCCTGGCTCTTTACTCAGTCTTCCTTGGTACAGCATTGGCAAACTTTAAGTAGCCCTGACAGCTGTCAAACATGGGATTACAGACTTTTGGTTAGGCTCTTGCTGCTATAGCTGAGAATGAAAGTGGGGCCGCAAGTTTGTCTGATGTCTAAGCTGCAACAGACTATTTTCATCTGAAACAAAAAATAAATCTCTTCAGGTTGTTCATTTCTTGTCTTTTGGCTAGACAAAATAACATTTGTTGGATTGCATTGTGTAATTCTGTGGTTACTTCTGCACTGTCAACTTGTCAAGTGTCTAGTCTGGAAGATGTATGAGATACAAATCAAACCACAGAAGCTAACCATTGTTACATTTCTCAGATACCAAGATTCCTAACTGATCTTCTGTCACCTTTCTATCTCTCAGAGTTTTCTTTTAAACGATTTATACATAATGTCTGGGGTGCTTATTTGTACTTAGCAGAAGGGATATAAAATATTATGTTTTGTCCATTTTCCCTGAAGCTGAAGGGATTTTTGTCATTGAAATTGCAATATGCAT